GAACTTGGAGGTTCCTCTCTGCCCTGATGTTGCTGCGGCTATTGGAGTGGAATCTTTTGTTGGTGACCAATAAAGGCTATGGCGGCTGTCACCCTCCTACTTCAGTGGTTCTTCTGAGTTCCCCTCACCCAGATTTGTAGTAACCAAGTAGTTTTTGTTGCTATCTTTGGGGTGTATAGCCGCCAAAGATTATATTTCTCTGTGTTTCTGCTGAACATTTTATCTTTTGTTGCTGGACCTGTCCAGCTTGAATTAAATTTATATTTTTCCAACTATATTCGTTGAGTGTTTCCTTGTCTTGGTGGACAAGGGCTCAGTGTTGCATATGTTGTAATTAACTTGCTTGATGTTTACTCTGCCTTGGTGGGCAGGGGTTCAGCTTTGTAACTATGATGATTTATCTTGCTGAATGCTTCTGTCATTTAACCTGCAGATTATTTCACAGTCTGCGTATTTGTCCGGAATTGTTGTTGGGCCAAGGTGTAGCAGTACCTAGACCTTAGCACAACAGTCTCTTTGTTGTATTCGATGAAACCTCGTAGGTTGGGCTTCACTAAATTCCTCATTTGGTTGTTGAGGGCTCTTTTGCTCTCCTTCTCCCTACTGTGCTTAGCAGGAGCTCTGGTGAGCTTTGCTCTTCCTGTCCTTTTTGCTTTGGATGCTTGTGCACTATGTACTCTACTTGATCTTTGTAGAGGCTGGTTTGCATGCTGATTAGTTTATTCGATTGCGCGTTATTTAATCTGCCCTGCTGAGACTTATTTGTGTTGATCAGCTTTTTTACCTGCTCGCTTTATGTCATTCTGCTTGTTTTGTTGTGACTTATTTCTGTCGTTCAGCTTGTTTATGCTGTGACTTGTTTATTTCGTTCAGCTTGTTTATGCTGCGACTTGTCATTTTGTGCCTGCTTACTTCTTTTCGTAAGGGCTTACTGTATGTATGTCTCCTCCTTTCCTCTTCCCCTGAAAGAGGTGGGCTAAGTGGGACTAAGAGAACCTTAGTGTTGCCCACGTAGCTCATCTTCTTCGTTTCCCCTTTTCTCCTGCTCAAGCTGAACGTGTCAGGCCTCCCCCTCAGGCGTCCCCGAGGTAGTGCCCTGTTTTGCTTTGAGCAGGTGAGGTGAGGTTTTAGGGAGGGATCCTTTAACTTGTCGTTTTAACAGTACTTTGCCACTTTGTGCTAGAGTGTTTCTTGCCTCTAACACTTTATAATTATTCTTGTTTGAATTCTTCATGTTAGCATATGATGCTGGGGCATAACATATTAAACAGATTTACGCAACATACTCCTAACGCAGAGGCTTGTATTTCATTGAATAAAAATGGCTCAAACGCCTTAATTAACATAACATGAACTGAATAAAGGTTTATCAAACTTGAAACAACTATATTTGTTTTTTCAAGCTATTTATACAAAATACTTCTTTATTACATCAGCATTGAAACTGTTTTTAAGACCTGACCTTCTTGATCTGCAAAGAGGAATGCTCCTGGTCCCACCTGCTCATGAATGACGAAAGGGCCTTCCCAGTTTGCTGACAACTTTCCATGCTGATTTCCTCTTCCCACTACTGTCGTCCTTCTATGGACTAAATCTCCGGGCAGGAGCTCTCTATGCTTGACCCTCTTGTTGAAAGCTTTTGAAATCCTACTCTTCTGGGCTGCCAGCTTGAGAGCTGCTTTTAGCCTTACTTCTGGCAGGAAATCTAACTCTTCCAGCATGCGCTTTTCGTTTCCTTGTTGCTTATAGTGCTGTATCCTCAGGCTGAGAATTTGCACTTCCACTAGGACGACTGCATCAGCCCCATAGGCTAGGGTGAAAGGGCTTTTACCTGTGGACTCCTTCTCAGTGGTTCTGTTTGCCCACAGGACCTCTAGGACTAGGTCTGCCCATAGGCCTTTGTATTCCTCCAGCTTCCTTTGCAAGGCTATTACGATCAGCTTGTTTGCTGCTTCTGCCTGGCCATTACTCTGCGGACGGCAGACTGAGGCACTTGCATACTTGGTGCCTATGTCCTCCAGGTAGTCCTTGATGGTGTCATAGTCGAACTGACATCCATGATCAAAGACTATGCACTGTGGCACACCGAATCTTGTGATGATGTTTTTCCATATGAATGTCCTTACTTGGACTATCTTTATGTACTTAGTGGGTTCAGCTTCTATAAACTTTGTAAAGTAATCTACTACCACGATAAGATACTTCCTGCCCGCTGACCTAGTGGTGAAAGGTCCCAATATGTCCATTCCCCACTAAGAAAATGGGATTGGGCTAAGGATTGTAGTTAGATCATTTGCTGGTTGGTTTATAACTGGTGAATACTTTTGACACTTGTCTAATTTTTTCACATATGCTAGTGCGTCTCGCGTGAGAGTTGGCTAGTATGCCCCCCTTTTGAGGACTTCTAATTCCAATGCCTTTCCACCAATGTGGTTAGCGTATATTCCCGAGTGGGCTTCTTCCATAATGACTTCCTGCTCCCACTCTGGGATGCACCTCAGCAGTGGTTTTGAGAAGCCTTTCTTGTTGAGCTCCCCATCCATTACCACATACCAATTGGTGTCGTTCTTCACCTTCTTAGCTTTTACTTTGTCATCGGACAGCGAGCCATGAACTTTGTGCGCCAGAATGTCTGAAAACTAAGCCCTCTGCTGTCCAATGCAGTTTACCTGTTCTTTTTCGGTAATTCTACTTTCCTCTAGGACTTCAACCATAACTGTCCTTGTGAGGCTCTGTAATGTGGAACTAGCTAACTTAGATAAAACGTCAGCCTGGGAATTTCCTGCTCTGGGAAATAAGTCTATCTGAAAGTGGACTAGCTGAGCTGCCAGCTTCTTTACTTTAGTTACATATTTTAGCAATGGCGGCTTCTCTAATCTCGTACGCTCCTTGCAATTGGCTGGCGACGAGTTGAGAATCAGTTTAGAGATGTACTTTGCGGGCTCCTGCTGCGATACTCATACGCAGGCCTGCCAGCGCTGCTTCGTTGTTTGATGCTTTGAACTTGAACTTTATGGCGTACTCGAATACATTTCCCTTTGGGGAAGTTATTATGACTCCTGCTCCACTTCCTGTTTGGGCTGAGGATCCATCTACTTTCACCTTCCAAACCCCAATATCATCCTCTTTCTCCTCATAGGAGGCTTCCACTATGAAGTCCGCTAAGGCTTGTGCCTTGATGGCTGCCCTAGGTTTGACCTCGAATTCGTACTTAGAAAGTTCAATTGCCCATTTTAGGAGTCTGCCTGATGCATCCATTTTCTGTAGCGCTTTTTCTAGTGGGTGATTTGTGAGGATTTGTATTACATGCGCGTCAAAATATGGTTTTAGTTTCCTTGATGTGGTGACCACTACGAAGGCCAGCTTCTCTACCCATGGGTACCTTTGTTCTACCTTAGTCAGTACATGGCTCACGAAGTATATTGGCCTCTGTTGCTTTTGTCTTTCCACCAGCAGGACGACTACGATTGTCTGTATTGACGCGGAGATGTACAGTTGCAACTTTTCCCTCAACTCCGGGCTGATCATTGTTGGTAGCTTAGTCAGATGCTCCTTAGTACCCTCAAAGGCTTCTTTTTCTTTGGCTCCCCACTTAAATTCTCTGTTCCCTTATCCGCTGACTTGCTGATGAACCTGGTCAGCGCGGCCAATCTGCCCGTCAACCGCATGATATCCTTGATGCATTTAGGCTCAGGCAGGCTTAGGACTGCTTCTACCTTTTCTGGATTTGCGTCTATCCCTCTCTCGCTGATCAGAAAACCCAAGAACTTTCCTGAGCTCACTCCAAAGAAAATTTCTTCGGGTTGAGTTTGATTTTATACTTATTCAGGGTGGCAAATGTTTCTTTTAAATCCATGATATGCCCTGCCTGCGTGACACTTTTAACAATTGAGTCGTCAACGTATACTTCAACATTTCTACCCTTCTAGTGTAGGAATACTCTATCCATTGCCTTCCGAAAGGTTGCCCCAACATTCTTCAGCTCGAAGGGCATAGCTATGTAATTGTACATTCCCCTTTCGGTAATGAATGCGGTTTTCAGCCGGTCTGGTTCATGCAGGCTGATCTGATGGTACCTTGATAAGGCATCCATAAATCTTAGCAAGGCGTGCCCGCTGGTTGAGTCTACCAGCTGATCAATCCGTGGCAGCGGGTAACAGTTTTTTGGGCATGCCTTATTGAGATCTGTGAAATCAACACACATTCTCCACTGGCCATTTGCTTTCTTCAACATGACCACGTTGGCTAACCACTCTAGGTAGTCACAAGGTTAAATCCTCCAAGAGTTTCTCCACCTCCTCTTAGATTGCTTGATTTTTCTCCGTGGAGAAGCTTCGCTTTTTCTGCCTAATTGGCTTAATATCCTCCTTCACATTCAGCCTGTGTACCATGACTGCAGGGTCAATTCTGGGCATCTCATCTGCGGAAAATGCGAAAATATCCTTGTTCTTCCTCAGCAGCTCTACGAGGTGTACCCCTACTCCTGGATCAATGTCTTTCCAAATTTTCACCATTCTCGAGGGGTCACCTTTGTGAGCTCGACTGTGACTTGCTCCCCATTGGGAAGTGGTCTAGCCATTTCCTCTTTTGCAGGATCAAAGTTTTCCATTTCTACTTTCCGTTTATCCTTTTCCCTGTGATATTCTTCACGCTTCCTTTTCCTTGACTTCCTCTCAGCCTGCTTAGTGAGCCTTCTCTCTGAGCCAGGCTGCTGTCTGGTTTTTGCGGGCTGCTTTAGGGCAGTTATGTAACATTGTTGAGCTGTCTTCTGACTTCCCATGATCTTTGCTGATCGTCTTTTATTAGTTGTGTAGGCCATGGCAAGGTGATAGGTGGATACCACTCCGCCTATCTTGTGGATGATTGGTCTTCCCATGATCACATTATAGGGTGAAGGAGAGTTTATCACAAGGAATTCTGCTCGAATATCACGCCTTCTTGATCTCTCACCCACCCGGACTGAGAGCTCGATTATGCCTTCCGAGGTTAGCCCTGACCCATTAAACCCGGTGACTTCGTAACTCACCCTTTTCAGATCCTTCTTGTCCAACTTCAGTTCGTTGAACGCGCTGATGTATATGATGTTGGCTGAGTTTCCTCCATCTATCAATATCCACTTCCCAGTTTGCAATTCTCATTGTCACTACTAGTGAATCATCATGAGGGTAAATTATGCCCTTCTGGTCATACTCGTCAAACGTGGCTCGTGGCTGCGGGGGAAGAGGTGGCCATCTACGCTTCTCATTGTCGTTTATCTGATTTATCATCGCCCGCAGGTCAGCTCGTGCTCTGTTAACTGTTCCTCCATGCACTGGACCCCCACTGATCACATATACCCTGCCTTCTGGCTTGCCATCTCTGTCTCTGTCTCTAGCGGGACCCCTATGACCTCCTCTGCGGTCAGCGTGGCCTATTCTATCCTCGTCCTTCCTTCTGAGAGGGTCATCTCGCTGCTTAAACTGATTCAGGTACCCTCTCCTGACTAAATCTTCTATGTTATCTTTCAAGTGTGTGCATTCCTCAGTGGTGTGGCCATGGTCTCTATGGAAGTCACACCACTTGTTGGTATCACGGTTCCTATTAACCATCCTTGGGGGTCTCTGCCACTTATCATCAGCTTTATTCAGGCTGAATATATGAGACCTTGAGTGGGTTAGTGGGTTATATTGGTGGAACCTCCTAGGCCTTGGCCCTTTCTTTGGATCTGGCCTTCTCACCCCCACTGCTCTGTCCGCTTCTCTGCGACTTTTCTCGGCAAGTCAGCCCTGGGTGTGTTCTTTGCCCGCTTAACTGAGTCACCTGGTGCGTTCCTACTCAGCATTGCTATGTCAGTCTCGACTGCTTTGATGAACTTGTGCCCTTTACCTAGCGCTTCAGCAAGTGTTTTGAGGCTCTTACACCCCATATACGCTCTGAATGGTGAGCCTGGTAGTAAGCCACTCTGCATTGCTAGTAGTGCTACCTTTTGACTCATATTTGGGATGGTTGTTGCCTCTTTGTTGAATCTGGTGATAAACTCCCTCAAGGGCTCGTCTTTCCCTTGAACTAATGACATCAACTTGGTTGTCATTTTAGTTCGGTCTACCAGGGTTATGAAATGCTCCATGAAAATTCTCCACCTGGTTATACGAGTATACAGAACATTTGGGAACAGCTCTATACCACTCCGCTGCCAGCCCCTCCAGGGTCGGCGGGAACGCCTTACACCAGACTGAGTCCGTCATAGTATAAAGTACCATGTGGTTCTCAAAAGCTGATATGTGGCTTTTGGGTTTTGTTGTTCTGTTGTATCTGCAGCTCAGCATCTTAACCTTCTCCAATGGTTCTTCTAGAATCTCCCGGCAAAATGGGGAATCATCTGGAACAACCTGGATTCGCGCTCGTTTGTCTCCCTCCGGGCTGGGTCCCCGCTCTGAGGCTGGCGACCTGCTGCGGGGGACCCACTTCTCCGGGCTGACCTAAGCCTGAGTAATTTCCTCCACGCTCCATTCTCGATTCAGATTACGAGCTTCCAACTCCAATACCATCTTCCTCAGTTGAATGAGCTCCTTTTGCTTAGGGGTGAGGGTTGAGGAAGCCGGCTTCTTTGTTGCGGGCTACGCAGTTGCCGTTGTCGGTGACGGACTCGCCCCCTTACCCATATTGGTAAGGACCGCCGTCATTGCTGCCAGCTGCTCCTTACTGCACTTAGAGAGGTTCTGCAGGATGGCTGGCATATTTACGGGCTGTGGTTTCTAGGTTACAGGTGCTGAAATAATGAGCTCATTGTTCGCGTCTGTTAACAACATTTCGTATTTGAAAATGGAACTGGATCCTGCCTGATCGACTGGTTTCGACGCCGCTTTAACTGCAGCCGATGTCGATCTGATGGGGTTGGATTTCTAAGAGATGGTCGATTTGGGATTTCTGGTGGATCCTTTTGGATCGAGGGTTACTGAGGGGGTTTTTTGTGGTGTTTGGTTGGTCTCATTAGCTTTGGACATGGGTGTCAGTACAGTTTCTTCTCCGGCCATGGTGGTTAGTTAACTAGTCCCTAACTCAGTTGGTGAACCTCAAGTTAGATGATCCTACCCCTCCTTCTAGTGCAAATTGTTCCAGGTATGGATCCAAGGGTTCTTCTAGGTGAGTTGCGTCCCGTCAACAACCTACATAAGGCAACACACTTAAACTGCCCTCGGGGGTGGCTCGAGGAACCCCCTCCAAAGCTTAAGTTAAAGAGTGTTTAGAGAGAGAAGTGTACTTAGAGAGATGTAGAAAGTATAATAACTTGAGTGTCTAACCTCTTTTCCGTTGTACTTTACCCTCTATTTATAGGCGTACCATCTCCTTCGTGGAGAGTTCAGCCTGGTCAGCCTTGCGGGCTGACTCCACCGAGCTGATGAGCCCTTCTTAATTGCTTTCTCGGTAGTGAGTGCGCACCCTGGGGGCTGGGCGATAGTTCAGCGGGAGCTATCCTATACACATATATACATACGACTTATTTTATGCACCGCCTGTTTTTTTTACAGACGGATCCCTTTCTTTGACTAACATGAAAATATTATTGGGAGATATTAAAAGTAATGTGAGGCCAATGGCTGTATAATAAGCTAAACATTAAAAGTTTTAATGGCTATACAACCGTCTTCCAAAAAATTAGACATGAGGCCAATGACCGGATGGTTACCTATTTTATAAATTCGCCTGCTCCAATGTGAAATATGGAGTCGGTGACGGCCCTCTGGGTGTTATCGTCGCAGAGGGCATTGCATCGTTTTCTCTACAGCTACATACAGGCGGCAAAAATTGAACGGCCTACTTGGTGAACTCATAGCCACCTGACCATGGCAATCTAAAGAATAAATAAGTATAGGGTGGCTGGATGTTAGATACATCAATCGTTTGCCGAGTGAAATTCTACCTTAGATTACCTCACGAAATTATACAAGTCCTCCCACCAAAGACATGCAGACATCGAGTATAATTAGATTACGGCCACCTACATAGTCGGCTAGTTTGAAAATTAGCCTAAGTAGGGTGAAACTCACTCGAGTTGGGGTGAGTGCATAAGGCTTATAGAATCGCCTGCTTATGTGATAGAAAATTAGCATGCGGGCAATCGCAAATTACTATCTCATGCAACTTGTAATATTGGTAGCATGATCACTCATTCGGATCCGTTGAACATGGGTAAGAAGATAGGGCCTCCTGGAGAATGCGAGACGCCTGTAAAGGAAAACTCCCAGGCGGACCGCTGCTAACTCAACATTTAAGTTCACTCAACTTGTAATACTTGTTGTGTGAACATCCATTCGACCGTGGCAGAAAGGTCTAGTGACCGCCTGCAAAAAACTCCGGATGCTCGAGTGGCCGACTGCACGCTTGGCTTGGAGCAATCACCTTAGTGATTGATTGACTTAAAAATCAGGTATACCCCCATCCGGCATCACACATTTTCAAGCCAATCAACCAACTTATTAACCCAAGCGCACAGCCGGCCAGGGGCAAAACCATCCGATATACCATTCGAATTCAATTCAAATTCAAACTTCAAAAACTAAAACACAAGTGTTAGAAACCAAACACAAACGTTAAAAACCGACCTATTGGCCAAATGATTCATCATAAAAAGCTGACACCTTGGCCAGCAAAATTAATATTTTTTAATTATTAACCGGCTATACAACCGGTGAAAAGAGAGAGAAATTGTTGGTTAACCCGACTCCACAGTCGGTAAAGAAACAAGAGATACTCGGCACGCAGGCCGGAAATGTATTTGAAATGGCCATCCGGCCGCAGAAACAACACTTAAATTAAACAGCTTCAGGAGAGACTCGACTTCATTTTCATCAGCCACTTCTTCATTGGCCGGATGATCTCCATCAACCTCCTTAGCCTCGTCCTCATGCTGGTCCCCCTCGCCGCCATCAACTCCCTGATCTGCCTCAACATCTAGCTCCTCTGTGTCTTGCTCATAACGATACTCCCAAATGGAGTAGTTGTCTTTGGGAAACAGAGCCTTCCACACCATCTTCATTCGAGTGACGCAGTCGGCCTTATTCTCCTCAATGAGCAACCTTTTCTCTTCTTCGGCCCTAGCGGACCATTTGGAGGCGAGCTGCTTTTCTTGGTTGGAAAGCTTGTTTCAAAGTTTTTCATTCTAGCGTTTGAGACTATCCGTCTCTTTGCCAGCATCTTGTAGCTCTTCAACCTTCTCTTTAGCCTCTTTTAGGTCGGCCTTAAGCTCAATCACCTTCTTCTGGGCCGCCTCTAAATCTTTCTTCGCTTGCAAATTGGTAGTCGCCTGTGAGTATAGGATATCTTGAGTCAACAACTCAGTCTTATTCACATCAAACATGGCTTTGTCCAGATTGGAAGCGGCCCTTAAGTTGACAGCTCTTACCTCTTTCTGCTTGTCGGCGAATGGTTTTTTAAGACCATTGATCGCATCATGGCCTGCATCCGGCGAAAGAAAAAAAGTTAGCATATAGTCGACAGAGGAAAGAGTTAGAAATAATTTTAAAAAATACCTCTGCAAAATTTGCAAGGATAGCATCAAAGTTAAGGGAGCCGACTCCTTTGATAGAGTCACGCTGATCAGCAGAGACGGCGGCGAGCATGTCCTTGGAAATCCTCTTAACATCCGGCGCCTGGGAGGCATCTGCATAATCAATACTTGGTGAGAGGCTGGCATAGATCCGGCTAAAAGACCGACTGGTTTCAGACCGAGGCTTAAACAGACAGAAATTAACCTAAAACTCTGGCAAAATACTTGTGAACTTGTACAACCTAGTCCCTCCTATCCCAAACACTCACCCTTTTGATACTTTGTTACTACGGTGGAGGTTCCCCAACAAGAAGGAGTCCATAAGTTTTCTAAACGGAGATCTAGCAAAGAGAATTGGTAAGTTCCCTAACACTTAGTTAAATCACATTTATTTTCTTGTTTAAAAGAACCTTAATTAATTAATTAGTGTTGTTTGATCACCTTTAAAATAATTAATTAATCAAAACACATAGTACCTTGCATTAAATAAAGATTAGAATTGAATTAAATAATTGTTGGTTGATCACTTAAGCCAAGGCGAATCTTGTTTATTTTCTTGTTCTTTTTCACGAATTTGATTAAATAAGAATAATGACATTACGATGTAATTCCTACGTGAATTAATGCTTTTAAATAAAATCAACTAACATAGTTTTAGGTATCGCGTTGCATATATTGTATGGTGATGAAATCGTAAAAAAGGCCGCACTAGGGCTAGGATAACGATTCCCCTCTAAAAGGAACATTATTCTAGTACCCTTGCTCCCGAACTCATTTCTGGTTTATAGACCAATTTGGGCATGGGTAAACTTATGATTCATGCTAATCATTCCATTAACTCTACATTGAAAAAAGGCATGAACAAGGTTTATGAGTTTTTCCTAAAACTCATTGGCGACTCCTACTTGTTTTTTACAAAAAAGCGTAATGATAGAATCAATTCTAATTCAAGGTCCCCCAAACAGTCAGGAATTTAAATCCTATTACACCCTAACAAGTGTAAAGTCCTAGGCTTTTAAGTGGCCATGTGCATTTAAGGAGAGTACCCCTAACGATGGGATCACCCTCCTTATAGTGGCGACTCCACTGGGGACTTAGAGGTTACATGATTAATTGGTAGTTATGGTCCAAGGTTTCCAACACTAGGTTGCCTATGGGTTGTAACGAGAATTAACTTGGATAATCTCTAGTTAGAGAACGAGACTTGAACGCATAATATCTTCCTTTTGCACAAGAGTAAAAACCAAACAAGCAACATTGCATCATGCATAAGCATAGCACACTTAAACCATTGGGGATTGGCTCATTGACTAGGGGTCGCCAACACTATGCTTCCATCTCGAAATCAATAACAATCATCCCACCCATATCACCAACAAAATGTTGGGAGGGTGATGTCATGAGTCAACACGTTGAGTGATTGATTTGTGCGTCGTTTCTTAAGATATGGTACCTTTGGACACCCAAGCCTTTTTTGACCTTAGAACGACATTGCGTGAATCTTGACTTATGACATGCTTATGTGATTATGTGACTATATGCAACGTGTTAGGATATTCTTCTTTTTTTTTCTCTTTTTTTTTTGGTCTAGGTTCCCAATTACAAAGTTGTCTCTTCGTTATTTAGCGTCATATTTTCAGAATAGCATAAAAAAAAATCAATAAAAAAAAATCGAATAAAAAAAAACAATGACAAAAAAAAACGCTCGAATTAAAAAAAAAATTACGAGCGGGTGGCACGCGCAACTCAATGAGTTGCGCGACCCCTCCCCGCCCAAGTGATTTCGTTACGCGCGACAGCGACGTGCAACTGATTTATTTGTGCGCGCCCACTGGACGAGTCAATTTTGATTTCTCAAAAAACAAATTGACTCGTCCGAACAATATCTTCATTGAAGAATTGTTAAGGGAGATTTTATCCGTTTGAATATATTTTGCGTCTTTTTCTTTTTATTTTTCTTTTTAAACAAGCGTATCGATTTACTTATCCTTTCGTACTCCTTTAGGGCCGGTTTTCAAGCTTGGGAAAAAGGACCCCGGGGCACTCGCATTCTACGTTTACCACCCAGTGATCAACCTCTTTCAAACCACTTTTCTTCTACAACTAATCCTAGTCCAACAACAATGCCAACCATCAAAGAACTTTAACAAGAGATTCTTTGTTTGAGAGAAGAAAAGGCTCAAGAGGCCGAGGAGAGAAGAATTAAGAAAATGGAAAAAATTGAGAAGAAAAATGTTGAAGCTTTAGCCTTGCAAGAAAAGATGGAACAATTATCCATCAAAGAAAAGTCGTTGGAGAAGCTAGTTCTTCATTCTACAATGGGGAACAAGTACTTTGACGCAGAAAAGTTTGCTCCTCCTCTAGGACTTGCTTTACCGGAAAAGTTCGTAGCTACGGACTTGCCAATATTTAAGGTGACCAATAATCCACAAAATCATTTAATGTGTTTTACGGGCACTATGGAACTAAAGGGAGTTGATCCTAAGCTTTATTCTTTGACTTTCCCTTTATCCCTAGACCCAACCGCGAGAGAGTGGTATTATGGGCTAGATCCAAAATTCAAAGCAACATGGGAAGATGTAGTTTCGGCTTTCATGACCCAATATGAGAGTAACGTAGAGTTCAAGTCAACTTTACGTGAACTCGAGATGCTTAAGCAAGGCGACGATGAAGGTGTCCTTTCTTTCTATGGTAGATGGCGAGAAAAGGTGGCCCACCTTGCCCAAAGGCTTCTGAACTCGAGTTAGTACAAAAATTCATTGACAACTGTCATGAAAAGTACAACAAACATCTACGTTACCTTGATCTAGACACTTTTCAAAAGGTCTATTCTGTGGCTACTAGGATTGAAGATGATCTTGCTAAAGAAAAAGCAAACAAACCTCATCATCATCATCAACCTAAGAATAACTACAAGAAGGGGAATGATAATGCATCATCCTTTATTGACGTATTTGCGACTTCCATGCAATACAATAACACAAATCGATATGATGATTCTAGAAAAAGATGGACAAAGAAAATTTACTCCATTTTTTGTAAGCTATAAAGACTTTTTAGAAAAATTAAATGAAAAAGGCTTACTTGCGCCAACAGGGCCAACACCACTCACTCCACCAGAAAGGAGATTTCCTCAATGGAATGGTAGTGCTTATTGTGCTTATCATAGAGGCCTTGGACATGATACTGAACGTTTCTATGTTTTAAAGCACAAAATACAAGATTTAGTAGACGATGGGAGAATTCCAACGCCTAAACCTAACAATAATGCATCCCCCTTAGGGGTGTTTCACATTGATAAGGACCATATGGGAAGTGATACGTTCAATCCTTTGAACTATATCACACCTACAGGAGAAACTCTATCCACAATACTCATAGGGGCAACTAATGAAGTATGTGGACTATGGGACAACGACATTCAAGACTTATATGTCTCTAATTATGCCGCCGTCCCACCTCCATCTTGTTTACAAAATGAAACAAATGGAGCGCTTGATTGGGATCATTTCTTTGGGAAGTCCCAAGACTTATCGAATCTCTCCTTGGATGAACAATGGCATCAAGCACAACTCATGGAACATCTTGAAATGGAGACACATCCAAAGCCTCTAGAAGAAAGTTGGTTTGTGAGTCCTACAACTAGCCCAAACGAGATAGATCATTTAACTTGTTTTGGGCGAGTCTACCAAGCACCACCACCAATTGGATCTTCGACCACACAAAATCAAACTCAAGGTCAGGTACAAAATCCAATACCATCTCCACTTGAGGTGGAAGACCCATTGGTCAAACAACTTCGCCAATCCAAGGCGAATGTTAGCATTTGGGAACTCCTAAGTACTTCTAAAAAACATAGGATTTCTCTCATGAACGCTCTAACGACTTTGTCTGTAAGCACAGACACAAAAGCTTGCTTACTAGCGAGAAATCCGATAAATCAATCATTTTCACTAATGATGATTTGCTTTCAAAAGACACATACCCACAACAATGCATTATACCTAACTGTGGGATGCAAGGGATACAATATCCCTCTAACTTTGGTAGACAATGGGTCAACTGTAAACGTATGCCCACTACAAACGGCAAAATACTTAGGCCTAAATCCAGAAAAAGATTTACAATCAACAAAACAAAGCATTAGGGCCTTGTAGGGAATATTTCAAGCATTACCCACAAATTGAACCCCACTATGATCATACACTAAAGTACGGTGACGTCCAAAGGGAAAGAAGATAGAGCAAAAGAGTCGCCAACAAGTTTTAGGAACTTGTAAACCGTTCACGAGTTGAAGGTTACACCCCTTAACGATCCAAGAGATCGTCAACTCCAATAGGTCTGGAACCATGACTGGTAGTTCGGGGATGAAGGTGCAAATCAAACCTAAAAGAGATTGAACCTACCCTAATAATAGGCCTCTACTTTATTCTAATCGTATTCGTGTGCGCTTTTTGACTAACATGCAATTAATAGGTTTACCC